AATTACATGCAGCACCCATTCACTAAATGGACGAGAAAATACCTGAGAATCCAGAGCACTCCATGCTTGTTGAACGTTGAAAATCGGATGTATATGTTCATACTAGGTTTTATGGTACCGAAATTTAGTTTGGCGTTTGTCTTATAAAATGGACTCTGATCATTATTTTGTGGTTTTTGACGAACAATTAAACAAATGGTCTAGCATGGAAAAGCTGATTAGCATAGATGATAGGGTCAGACATGTGACCTTATCTAGAAGTCTACTTAATTTTGACCTTACAACCATTATTCAATTAGTTGCATACGATGAATCAGTTAAACAATCAGATGTTTGTACACTTCAGTTAAAGACAATTCCAAATATAATTAGATATCGATCTGAAAAACATCTATGAAATATGTGTGTCTGTTAACTACAATAGTCAGTCTGTTGTTCTAGCCAATTTGTCTCTATGTTTTCCTCCCTCCTTACCTGTATAACCATGCACGCATCTGGGTTCGATTGTAGATACATTTCATTTAATCTAGTTAGAGGAAATCTTATTATTACAGGTAACTCCGGTTCCGATTAATTTTTATTGGATAATGGATATTAGCATACAAAATGACTTTATTTCTTCGGGCTTCATAACGGCTTGACAATAGGTTGACTTACTATTTCTCAAATGTCATAAATTTTTAGAATACAGTGGATCAGTCTTTTTCATCACAACAGATGTATCATCTATATATCTAAGCCAAATTTGTGGTTTAATGTGATTGGTGAAAATATTTGATTCATTTTTAATGGCCACCAAATCGATTTCAAAAATATCAAAATATTACAAAAAGGTCTTTCCAATTACAAAGAAAGGAGAGTAGCTGAAGCGTTCCATATAATCTTTAATCCTACTGCTCTCAATAAAAAAGAAGACCTTACTATACATCCTACTTGGACTATGTATCCGAGCCACATAGTCTGATATTATTTACAATTCACACTACCATATTACAAATTAAACTCAATCCTTTCTCACCATAAAAATCATACAATTTTCATCCTTAACAGTGTACACTTACATACACACAAATTACGTACATGTCGCTTATGAAACACCTTGACCGAAATAACATGACATTGATTTGTTCAAACCTGTTTTTTGATTGATCACATAATATTCTTGTTGTTCTGTTGTACTATTTAAACTTGGATTAATTATGATTTGGTTATTTATTTACTCTGAAAAAGTGACTTACATTGAGTCACGAAACGTTAGAAAATCTAATTTTACTATTCATTAGGATATTATAAGTAATATATTAATTTATTTATAACAATCTACCCAATACTCAATTTATTCGAAATTATCAAATCAAACCTTGGTAATGATACCTACAATGAAGAGTTTCCTTTATATGATCTCATGTAAATATATAATAGTAGAATAGGTTTCATATGTTCTTTATTTACTCAATATAATATTGGAAAATGAAAAGATTCTCTTTCACTAGGATTTAATTAACTATTTAATAAATATCCTAGAAATTTTGTATAAATTAAAACTTATTGTTTTACTTCATATTCTTTGGCTACTACTAATGAACTTTCATAGAAACTAGACAGCTATAAAAACAAACTATGAGAATAATTGAAAATTGACATTAAAGAACATTATTATAACTTTTTAGCAGAATAAATAAAATAATAATTTAATGTTTAAAATGATTCATAAAGTTGACTTGATTTATGGTATGTACACATTTATCAAATTATAAAAAATGTCAAGCTTTCTTCTTTTTTTTGTTTTACTTTTTTGTCATCATTTTCAAAAATCATATAAACATTGTAAACAATGACTTGTGATACCATTCAAATATTGTTTCAATTAGTGATCAATGATGTTTTTGTACAAAAATAAACCATATATATTTGATCATCTTAATTGAATCATTGAATATATAGATATATAATAATAATAATTATTATTATTATTAAGATGAAAAATTGAATGATCACTAGGATACAAGCAAATAAAAATTTATTCAGGTTTTCCATGGTGGTCTAGCTTCAATTGACTCATAATTCCAACCAGTGGAATTTCTAAAAGTCTCCACAAAACCCCTTCTGATAATAATCAACTGCTCACTAGTGACTATTATTTATTATTTATTTCAACACATAGATATTTGTACAAAGAGGCACCAAATACATATGCGCCACACAAATCTCATTCGATATGTGTGAGGGCTGTGATACTGCCCGAGTGCCCAAACCGAAGCAGGTGGTTTTCTTAGGGGGCCACACCCCGAGCCTTCGACCTGAAGGTCTGATCCACAAGGCAGTGGAGCATCGTAAGGAGATGCAGTCCCATGGAAACCGGTGACCAACAATTGGTTCATACGCCATTTGTTCCCGCAGGATACTGGAGCCCATGTGCACCATTGGTTTGGAATCCGGTTAAAGCACCGGACATTCCCTTTTCGTCCTCTCATTTTCGTAAACAACACCTCCGCCACGAGAAGGCAGTGAGTAGGACTTCCCTGGCAGAGGCTATATACGCGTGGCCGTGTGAGAGTATTTCGAGAGGGAGAGCGGACTCTCCCCACTCTCGGCCGTACCAGGGCATTTGGGGGCTCACTAGTGACTGACTTCATGAGATACTCTTGAAGTTCTAGTGAGAAGCCGTTATCAGTGGAGTTCAATCAGGTCTGTTGTAAGATATCAGCTCACTGAAGACAACAGTGTACGGTGGCGCAACTTCGTGGATTGGTTGAAGTTAGACATTAACACCGTTGGTTGCCGGTTCAGTGGTTTAATGGTTAAGTGCCCGCGCGCACTGCTGAGGAGTCCCATACTAGGACGAAAAGGCCATCCAGTGCTTCTAGGTTTTCCATGGTGGCCTAGCTCCAATTGACTCATGATTTCAACTAGTGGAATTTCTAAAAATCTCCACAAAACCCATTCAGATAAAAATTTATCCATCTTAAAATTGTGTATAATATTAAAAATTAAAACTTGATTACTAAATTAAATCAATGATAATATCAAAAAGAACCCTATAAATAAAACTATATTATGATTAATTGTCTTGAAAGTTTGAAATTATATTCATCGGTACTGGGTTTCTTTCAAAATTGAATATGTTATTGTAATTAAATAGATTAAACAAACAAATAATAATAAATCTAAAAAGTAATTTAATTTTGTTCACTTTTGTTTTTACGAAAACGAAAAACAGAACAATTACATAATAAGTGATGAGTTGATAAAGAGTTGAATGATAATAAAATATGATTTAGTCATTGTTTTATGTTAAAGTTTAGATTAGAATTCATTAAAATGCCTAATCACAATTCTAATGAATTACTTCTAAGTACTTACTTATATACACCGTGTTACCGTTCGTGGAGGAGAATAGGTTGCCCACCAGCACTTTCCATCCAACCCTGTCCTAGACAATACTTTACAGTTGCTATACACCCTTTTAATGTTTACTTCCGATTCTCAACGTAATATGTTGTTCAGTCTTCCTCTCTTCTGTTGCACTTTAGGATTCCAAGCTAACGCTTGCTTCATGAGACAGTTCGATGAGTTCCTCAATGTGTTTTTATCCATTTACAACGATTTTTTTCCTGATTTCTTCATCATCTTCTAGGAGCTGGTTTGTTCTTTCCCATAGTAAAATGATGCTTATGGTATCCGGTCAACGGACACTGAGTATATTGCGTAGAGAATTGTTAATATATACCTTTACATTTTTGATGAATGTTGTAGTAGTTTTCGAAGTTTCAGCTTCATACAATAGAATCGTCTTGACGTTCGTACTGAAGATTTTGACTCTGATGTTGGTTGACAGTTATTTCGGGTTCCATATATTCCTCAATTGTAGGGATGCTGCCCTTGCTTTGCTAATTCGTGCCTTCCCATCCGCATTAAATCCTCCTTATTTATCAATGATACTGTCCGGGTACACGAAAGTTTCCACCTATTCCAGAGCTCCTTCATAAAGTGTGATTGGATTGGTGTTCTCCGTGTAATTCAGGATCTTGGTTTTTCCTTTGTTTATGTTGAGGTCTACTGATGCAGAGACTGCTGTTACACTAGTTGTCTTTATCTGGATTCGTTCGTGTGCATGGGATAGAAGGGCCAGGTCATCTGCAAAATCCAAATCGTCTAACTGATTCTGAGCTGTTCATTGTACTTCATGCTCTCACTCAGATGTGGAGGTCCTCATAATTCAGCTCACCATCAGAAAAAAGTGGAAGGGGGGGTAGACAGCCTTAGTTTTAAGTAATTAGATTTAAAAAGCTACATGAATAGAATTATATATGAAAACTGAAATTAAACGTTAGAGATTCTTGATTATATTAACTGGAATATAAATGGTCATAATGACCAAACTCCTAAATCTTCAAATCCATTATTAATTGAAATAAAAGAAAATTCCTTACAACAATCATTTCATTTTTTACCCGACTAATGTAGATGAGTCAGTTGAGAACTTTTATAATTGAATATATACTTCTGGTTTCATAACTTATACTATTTTATACAGTATGAAAATAATGAAGTGAATTAATATTCTAGTGAATGACAACTTAGTTGTGGAAAACTGGATTATTGTTTTGTGCAAAATTACACAGTGGTTTTGTAAAATATGAAGAGCATGCACTAAATACATTATTTGTATATCTTCTTTCACTTGTTCATGACATACTTCATGATTCTTCCAATTCCGTCATTGTTCCAACTGTTCTCTGTTTCCCTTCCTGTTCTCTTCAATTCAATCCTATTCGGGTAAGCATTTCACTTCCGACTGGTGTTACATACTAATTATATCTATCAGCATAAGCAGTGTGCACCATAATATGAGCTGTTTCAAGTTAAATTTCTTAAAATACACTTTGATTACTACCAATGATAATAATGCTACACAAAAATTAATTAGCGATATAAAATCATTCGGAATTTGTTACTATGTTTAGTGTCATAAATTTCTTTTGTTTTCTACCTTTCAGAATTTCATCGTTCGTGTAAACCAACAAAATTCAAGTATGGTACTTACTCGTGTTTGTCCACCAACAACGGCGATACGTTCACTCAATAAAATTAACGGTTATTTACATGCTAAACACAAAGACTACATTGAAGATAACTACGACAAAAATCAACATCAGAATGTTTACTTATCAATCAAACATAATTTGATTGAAATACTTCCTCATGATGGTTATTGTTTGACTGGAGATAAGAAAATGCGTTTAATATTCAAAAGTTTGATACATTTATTAGAATTCTATTTACTTGTTCAAGTAAGGTAAGTCAATAGTGGCATAGGGATTTTCGAGATTGTAGTATGGGTTGATTGAAGTTAAACATTATTACCATTAAATGCCGGCTCAGTGGTCTAGAGGTTACGCGTTCGTGCGCAGGACCAGAGGTCCTAGCTGCACACTGCTGAGGAGTCCTGTACTAGGACGAGACGGCCGTCCAGTGCTTTCAGATTTTTAATGGTTGTCTGGCTTGGACTGACTCGTGAATTCAACTGTTAAAGTCAATATTTATTATCACGTCACTAAATTTTGTCGATTGTTTGCTCTGCAATCTGATATCAGTTAGGGTATTATTGTTGTTCTTGGTTGGAACTCCTGATTAATGTGTCTGTCACAGCACACGTAGTCAAATGCACGTCTGTATTACTTACCAATCTGGCCTTGTAATGATCCATCTAGGACTGCAAGACCATATCATCTGTCCAAGATGATCTGAAACGCTATTATTCTTTTTTTGTCTAGAAGTGTCTACTATCAGTACAATTGAAGATTTCATTAACCTTAAGTTCAAGTGTATAAGCTTTCAGTTAGGTCAGCACCTGCATCATGTTCATTACAAAGTATGTGTGTTAGATAAAATAATCTAGAATTTTTATACTTTTCTCGAGGTTCATGAGTTATGATCTAACTGCATTTCACTCTGCTGGAAGCGATACAAACGGTAGTATCTGAATGAAGTGGATGGCTTTCACCTGATAAAATAAAGCTCACCACTTGTTTGCAAAACTTCAAATACCTATCTATAGCCATATTCATAATGACGTCAAAAGATTCTTCATTTACCCCACTAATTCTCTTGTGAATATGAGGCGAAACAGAGTGAAATACTGCTAAAATTATAAAAAGACAATAAGATTTCAAAATAATAGAATAAACTGGTGAGATAAGTGGTTTATTGCAACAAATATACATTTTTATCAGTTCATAGCCTGTAAAAATGTTTGATAACAATCAAACTACTGAGCATCAACAAGTAGCATAGCATATAACACAAAAATGGAGATCAGATTCTCTAATGTTATTGCAATCCAATTTTCATTGGGATGCAGGTACATCCATCTGGTGATTCTCTTTCATGAAATTTGTATAATTCATCAATAAAAGTCATAAAAACTCACCTATAAAGTCTACTTGTTCTTATCATTTCTTAAATGGTATAAAGTGTATAACGGATTTTTAGATTAAATAATTCATCTAATAAAAAGTCCATTCATTCCTTCTGAGTCTTTCGCTTATTTATTTCCTGATTTTTTCATTCTGTTAAAAAGTAATCGTGGATCATTCCTTCGTTTACCATCGGCAATTTGTCAAGCAAAAACTATGCAGGAACTTGACCAAATTAATAAACAGGGGATAAGTAAGTAACATATTTTATACGAATACTTCTGTACCAACGCCAATTTGTACTACTTTATAAATGATATTATTATGTTAATAACAATATAAACTGTTGCTTTATGTCATGTTTAAACATAATTTCTATCTCACTCTTATTCCTTATTACTAAGTGATTGGGAAAATCCAATCTGATGGTTCATTTCGAATCCAAATTAAAAAGTAGATATTCGTTAGTAAAGTAATTAGATACCTGAGTTTTTATGCCGAAAAATATCAGATGAATCCTGCATCTATCTGACCAAATGAATAATAGCACAAATGACTTTATTCAGCTATTTAAATGTGTTGTACGCGGTCACTAAACTTAATCTCATTAGAAACAAACATAGCAGTTTAGGTGGCCAAATTTTTTAGGATTATCTCCTCACAAAAACTTACTTACTTAAGCCTGTTACCGCTCGTGGCAGATCATGGGTCGTCCACCAGTATTCTCTATCGAACTCTATCCTGGACAATTCTTTACAGTTGTCTCCAATTGTTCCTAGTCGCTATTCATTCTTTTAATGTCTGTCTCCTATTCTCGTAGCAGTGTGTTGTTCAGTCTTCCACTCTTCTGTTTCACTTTAGGATTCCAAGCTAACTCTTGCTTCATGAGACAGTTCGATGAGTTCCTCAATGTGCGTCCTATCCATTTGCAACGTCCTTCTAATTTGTTCTTCTTCTTCTGGAAGCTGATTTGTTCTCTCCCATAGTAGACTGATGCTGATGGTATTCGGTCAACGGACATTGAGTATAATGCGTAGATAATTGTTTATTAATACCTGTACATTGCTGATGATAGTTGTAGTAGAAAGGGGGGAGAGCAAGCAGCCATGTCTGACTCCGGCCCTCACCTCGAATTTGTCTGTCTACCGTCCTGCATGCACTATTTTACAGTGTAGTCCATCATATGAATTCTGGATGATGACGATTTTCTCAGTTACTCACTCCATAGTGTCGAATAAGTTTCCGTAATGTTTTCTTATCCACACTATTAACTGCTTTCTCACAGTCAATGAATTTGATGTATAGTGACGAGTTCCATTCAAATGATTGTTCAACAATGATCCTTAGTGTTGCGTTCTGGTCTGTGCACGACTGACGATTACGGAAACCAGCCTGTTGATCTCGAAGCTGGACGTCTATTGAATCTTTCATCCGGTTTAGCAACACTGTGTTGGGAAGTTTTTCTGGTACTGATAGTATTATGCTGCCTGTGTAGTTCTCGCACTTGCTCAGATCTCCTTTCTCTGGTATCTTGATGAGGTATCTTTCTTTCCAGTCCATGGCACTTGTTCTTCCCCCCAAATCTTCCTGAGTAGGACATGGAGCATGTTTGTACTTATTTCTATGTCCGACTTCAGTACATCAGCTGGTATATTGTCAGGTTTAGCTGCTTTCCTCCGCTTGAGTTGTCTGATGACCATCCTGATTTCTTAGATCTTTGGTGGGGTGACATTTGAAGGATAGTTTGCATGTGCTGCTTCGATGTCTGGTGGATTCAGTGGAGCTGCCCTATTCAAGAGTTAAATTGCTAACAACGTGACATTATCCTTCTATGTATTTCTTCTTTTGGAAATGAAAGTCAGATGTATAAAGGTCAACACTTCACAGTATCGAACTCAAAATCCATCCACAACCCCTTGCAATATATAACATCGTAGGTATCCTTAACGTATCATTCAGCTAGCAATGTACCGATTACTCTTCGTCGTTAATGATTTGGAATGATGAAGACATTGTAATTCAAACGGATACTTGGAGTGATTCTGAGTTCTTTGAGTTAGATAATTCTAGTAAAAACATTGATTTAAGAAACTTTGTTGTTGTTCAGCATTATATTAAAAGCTTCACGATTAAACCAGTTAGTTTAGAAAATTTAACATTACTAAAACACTGATTAACTTACAGTTTCTCGGCGGTTTTGTAGGAATACGTGACTGTTCTTGATTATATGTGCTCTAAATCAATACTAGCAACTTTATAAATTCACCATCATGACATTGATTCATAGTAGTCAGTATACGATAATGTCTCTTCAGGCGTTCTTTTAGGACGCAGTTTTCATATTAATCAAACTAACTTACTGTGATTATTTTTTGAAATGTCAAACTTATAGATTTTTTAAATGTAAGCTGAGTACACAATAAATTATATTTATTCTGTTATGAGTTTAAAACAAATAGTTAAGGTGTTTAGTTTCCATTTTCTCATCCTGTCATATCTATCAATTGAATCAGCAAAGATCAGTAATGATGACTCAGCTTAATTCAATCTCAGAGATACCATGCTGTCAAATTGTATTATTACAAAGCAACATTAAAATTTCAACGTCTATTAGTTTAAATAGTATGGAATTTATCAAAAATGGTTTGAATTATCCCTCTGTTTATATTTTTGACTGAATTTAGATCAGTCTTTGTTAGTACATGTACTTTCTGCTCGAAATCCCTTCATATAGTCAATTTTTTTACGTTTTATCCGGAACAGATGAACTATAACGATTAAAGTTAAGTCCTGAATATTAGCAACCGCATTATTTAAACTGTTCTTTGTACTAATGGTACAAATATCACATCAATTGCACAAATGCTCGGATATTTGTATACATTAGCTCTCTGAACAACACATCGTTTAAAGCAAAGAGTATTATTTTCTATTCCCAGTGTAAACGTCAACACAAGCAATCTATGGGTCCCTAATAAGGTGAAACGTGCATCGTAAATCTTATCACTAACCACAAGCCGTATATTCTACATAAAACAAGTAATTTGTGCAGTATATACACGAATTGAGATCATCAAACTGTCTTTGAGATTTCAAGTACATAAATACCACCCCTACTTATGGTAATACTTGTGTCATCTCCGCCTCTGTTGTTCCGAATATCCTTGGAAGTTATCTTGAATCGTATTCTTCATCTAAGTTCTTTCACGTTTTGCCGCCTATTCCTTGCTATATCATCATCATCATCATCATCATCATCATCATCATCATCATCATCATCATCATCATCATCATCATCATCATCATCATCATCATCATCATCATCATCATCATCATCATCATCATCATCATCATCATCATCATCATCATCATCATCATCATCATCATCATCATCATCATCATCATCATCATCATCATCATCATCATCATCATCATCATCATCATCATCATCATCATCATCATCATCATCATCATCATCATCATCATCATCATCATCATCATCATCATCATCATCATCATCATCATCATCATCATCATCATCATCATCATCATCATCATCATCATCATCATCATCATCATCATCATCATCATCATCATCATCATCATCATCATCATCATCATCATCATCATCATCATCATCATCATCATCATCATCATCATCATCATCATCATCATCATCATCATCATCATCATCATCATCATCATCATCATCATCATCATCATCATCATCATCATCATCATCATCATCATCATCATCATCATCATCATCATCATCATCATCATCATCATCATCATCATCATCATCATCATCACCTAATTAAGACTAAATGTAATTCTGTATAATGCATAAATATCCACAAAAATAGAGAGAGATACATATTGACTTATGTACAATTACAAACCCAACTATTTTGTCATTGTGATAAATAAATTATTTGGAAATCTGCGACACCATCTGGAATGAATAATTTGAAATCCATTCGTTGTTTAGTTTATGGACAGAAATCTGACATAAATGATACATTTTTTTTGTGTTCAGTATTATAAATTTCTCTATAATTCGATGAAAATATAATGCCCATAAGTATTTACAGGTGGAAATGCTATTATCATTTATAAATTTTTGCATTTTATCGATTACAGTGAAAATATCAACTTCTGTATGACCACAGGATCAGATTACTTGTAGGATTTGTATGTATTCATTTGGCAATATGGTAAAGATTTTTACTTTGAAAATGCTTATTGTTTATATATGTAGGTGTATTAAGACCTTATCATCAAGCATAGATGTGAGAAAATATATCATTGAGTTATCCATGTTTCTAAATGCATATTGCACAATCCGATTTTACAATTTCATTTTGTGATAGATATTTAGGTTAAGCTTTAGGATTAAGAGTTAAAAATAGGAGTTAGGTTATTAAATTAAAGTCAGAGTTTTTCATCTTAAACTGACATGGGTTGAAATTCAGGAATGCTATTTAGATGGGAGAATAACCATCGTTTTCCAATGATCAATAAAAGTGCGAATTGTTATGTTCATTTAGTGTGTCAGAGCTGCACGAATGCGTTCATCTTTACTGGGGACTTTATTTAAATAATCTAAAGGTATCTAAATATATTTTCTGTAAACAAGCCATTGCACTGCATCCCAGCTTGGCTGATATCAAAACAAACGAACTGAAATTTGGATCTTGAAATGAAAACCTCAGTGAAGATTATGCTTTGATACGCAGTATCTACTCACTAAATAGACGGAAAAGTGATATTACACACATGTTGATTATTTAGAGGTACGTGCGCTACAAATTCATATGCACGTATCGTATTCCTTATGTAGCCATATGGATGGCCGAATTTTGAGCAAACATCCAAGAGGCACTATCTTAAATTTGGTCAGTTTGACCTTTATATGTTAGCTAACCTTGAAACTATTAACTATATACCTATATATACCTATACACCAGTGGGATATGTTTATTTCATCCAGTTTTTCAAACATTCACGGCAAATAAAATCATATTGCGAAAAATTTAGAGTTATGAAAGAAACACAATCAAATATTCATATACCGATCATTTTAAAATTGATCCATCTGTCTTTCTGTATCCACATTCGATGATAGAACTTCGATGTGTATGTTTATATGTCAGTAACAAGTTTATTTACAGTGATATATTTATTATGTCACAGATCATAAACATATGGTCGATGTAAGTGATTTCGTATAAATCTTTCATAATTTGAAGA